CCCGGCCGGCCCCCATGGCCGCCCCGGGGTGCGCCTGCGCCGCCGGGGCCGCGGAGCTGCGGACGGGGCATTTAAAAGCTGCAGGAAGAGCTGGTTCCGGCTCCAATCAAAGAACTAGGCTCAACAGCCGCTCCTGCTGCTCGGAGCGCGCGCGTTCCCAGGTTCACGGCCTCGCACTGCAGCTGGAGTCTCACGTTACTGTGTAATTTAGCAGGGTGTTACTCACTTCTGAGCTCGGGAAACATAGGCCATTGAAAATCAAGCGCCAGGACATATACATCCGTCTATATATAATATATACACACATGGGTATGTGTATATATACATATATGTCTGCTTGCATATTACATATAATAGGCTTTTTTATATACACACACACACAAATATGGACATATGTGTGTATGTATTATATGTGTGTGTATATACATGTATTTCTTTATGAGGTGTTGGGGAGAGGATTAATTCCTGTGGAAGGTCAGGGCGGGATAACCTGTGGATAGCTTAATACACTGAATCATCACTTTTATAACAAAAATACGTGGCTTTTCCGAGGAAGCTGGAAACTATTCAACTGGAGTGGGTCAGTAGTGATCCACCCATGGCTAAGGAAACGAGCCAGCTGCTTCAAAAGGGTTTATATAGCCAGGATGTGTAGAGTTCACTTCAATAGTGGCTGAAATAGAGCAACCTCCCCGGTTAAACCTGACAGACAGTGAACTGGGTCCAGAAGCATCTCTTGTTTGAACATTTGGTTCAAGCTTGCTGGTCTGGTTTGATATATATTTAATATATATATTTATGTGGGGTATGCATCCAAGAACAGCTGACAAGGGAGTCCTGAAGATTTGGTACAGTTCAAGTGTCAGTCCTTCCTTCTTCACAAGTATAATTTAATTGCTGACTAATTCCATCTACTGCACAATCCTCAGGGCTCTGGAGACCTGTTCTCCTGGCACCTCCCCATGTCTGGGAAAGGGTAACTCACAAAACCTGACAATTTTGAAAGAGCAGCGCCTGGAGCAGGAACTCATCCAAATTCCAGTTAAATTGGGAGATTAATCCCCTTTGAAGTCCCAAGCCTAAACAAACCTCCATCTCAGCAAAAAGTGCAGCCTGTTTCTTTAGAACAGAGAAGAAATGCTACACAGAATCTGCCCAGCCTTTCCCACAGTTTTTAGGTAACTAACAAATTGGCACCACGCTGTGCAAAGAAGGAGGGATGCTTGCAAGCACAAAAGGTTTTCCGAGAATGACCTATTCCCTAGAACATCACAGATCTATAATAACACAGAGCCAGACTTGTGTAAAAGATAGGAACATAACCTTTTCTTACTTTCTTTTTCTGTGTTACTGCTGTTCGTTATTAAAAATCCTTCCTCTCCTTTAGAATAAATTTCTTTCTTGCAGGAACATTGCAGAATCTGTATTTAGCAATTCATTCAAAGACATCAGCTACAGAAAAGAGGGCAGGCAAGACCTTATGGGATTACCTCATTTATTTCTGTGCCCTATGGCTGGTTTGACTATGGCTCCTGGTTGTTCCTGGTGTTTGTCTGATGACATCCAGTGCTAGAGTTCTTTTTTAGTCCTCAGGCTGTTTCACACTTTGCTATGCCCGGGGGGGCACTGGGGATTCTAACCTGAACTTTCCTGTCACCACCTATCATTTTTAGTCCTAGCCCAAAGGCTTCTCTTCTGTGTCTTGTTTGCGATCCAGTTCTTGTGAGAGGAGCCAACAGTGAGATTGCAGCAAGGCAGTCGAGGAAGGCCTGCAAAGTCCTCAGTACCTGAGATATTTGAGACCCAGGTCCCAATTTGCTATGCTCCAGAGTCAAAGTATCCCAAAAATACTGTGAATTGTGGTCTTGTTCAACAGTCCTTGAAGCCCCTGTTATGGACACAAAATTGGTCTCCCTTTTACTTCTGGATATGAAGGGCCAGTTTTATAAAATCCTTACGTGTTCCTGAGCTCTAATCCCTACTTTGCTTGTAATGCTAGTCCTGCTCAAATTGCCCTAGGTTGGGCAGCGTACTAAATACTTGATTATCCCTATTGCCAAACCTATCATGGGAGCCTTGGTCACATTTCCGAAAAGATGTTTTATTATTTCCTTAGTAATATCTTTTTTTTAAGACTTTTTAATGGCATTCTTTGCTTTGCAGAATCCTGTATTTTCCCCAAAAAAGGCAGACAGCACCGATGTCCTGTTTCTGTAAGCAAAGTTGTTAGAGGGTCACCAGACCATGTACTGAACCCTCAGTAAGTAAAGTACACTTATTTCTAGGCTAAAGTAAGTTTTAGAATGGAGCCTTCCATCCTGTGGTTAAATCTGTAGTTCCCTTTTTCAATGCATGCTTGTCTAACTTATCATCTGCCATCATTTCTGAAGTACCTACCACATTTGTACTTAAAAGACAGCAGTTGTAAAACAAACCCGCAGGGAGATGACCCAGAGCACAGTTTAGCAAACAGATCAGACTCTTCATGGCACTTTGGAGAACCTGCTGGTAAGCTCCTGGGATATGCGTCGCGTTTGTTTCTGTTGTGTTTTGTGTTGTTTGGAAGCAGCAAAGGTCCCACTTTTCAAAGTCACATTTGCATCGCGCTGGGAAATGCATCTGGAGTCTGCTGCTGACCAGCTAACTCTGCAGCAGGGAGCATGTCAGCTCTAAGTAAGAAAATCATTACCACTTAGAGGCTATTTTCTGTGGTTTAGATTCCTGTTGTCCTTTAAGCAGCAGTATATCCTTTACTTTCTGCTCTTACTTAATGTCTTACCATATCTAACCAAAACATAATCAAGGTTTTTATTTCATCCTGAGGACCCACTCTGTCAACTGTTGCAGAAGAGCTTAATGCTGGTGTAGATTTCTAGTTAGCATCTTTACTTAAATTGCTTTACACTTGCTTTGATTCTGGTTTTAGTACTTTTATCACACAAAATCAGCAAGGTATCACAGACCACCAGGTGTTCTCTTAGTTTGTAGCTCTGGAAATATCTCAGTGCTAACATAGCTATAGAATTACCTATTCCAAAATCCAAGTTTTCAATCTTGGGCTGATAGCAAGAAAAAGTAATGTTTTTAAAAACAAAGAAAAAGAACAAGTGAAAAGATGGAAAACTAACTGCATTGCAGTTTATACCTAATTACAAACAAGCAAACTCCTGCTCAGGAATGTTTAATCTGTATATTTGCATGTTATTAGCCAGCAAAAGTGCCTTCATAAAGCTGACCCTTAGGATCTTTTCAAATGTCCGGAGCAAAGAATGTAGCCAGAAAGAATGAGAATATTTTTGAGAGCAAAGTTAAAAAGTACCTAGGTAGCTCAAACCTCTCTAAAGAAACCAGGGAGAGAAACAGCATTTTAGTTGTGATAAATGTCAGAGCCATCAGCCAATGCACTGAGATTACTCAAGTTAGTGAGAGACATGACTCTTAAGCAGTTCTAAAATGTGAGCGTTTTTTTAGAAATGTTTTTTAAAGGCACTGAAATGGTTGCTTATAAAAGAAAATCCCTTGAGCAGTAGAACTAACGAAGCCGATTTCCCAAATTCTTGTAGTTGTGCCTGATGTTTTACTTGATTAAAGTGTTGGCTGCAGCTAGGGAATCACAACACTCCCTCTGCTGTGCGAGTGGAAAGCTTATTTGGTGAGTTCTTTGGCGAGTTCTTTCTCTTTTTTAAATCCATGTACCTAGTTCACATTAGAAGAACTCAGTGTACTGGAAACTGCTTCTCAGCTGCTGATTTTTGTTGTAGGTGGCCAGCAGGAGAGCTGCAATGAACATGATGGATAATGTTGATAGATAGATAGGAATACAGAGGTGTGTGCATGCATAACAACACGTACGGGCACATCTGCAAAGCTTGCAGTTGTGTTCTCCCCACAGGTGGACTAGAGTTATTGCTAGCTTTGAGAAAAGGCTAGTTTTTATTTTCAATATGACATTTATATATTTTTACTTTTAAATGGGAAAATAAAAAACCTTATCAATGTATTTCATAGTTTCATCAAGCAAATGAAGGATGTGTAGATTAAATCTAAAAGAACAAACTTTCCATTAATAGCAATGTGATAAGAAATAAATATTCTTGGAGGCATTCTGTAGGCATAAATGTATGCTGTGAACAGTAGTTATCCAATTCAAATGCATTTTGGAAAAAACAAAGATTTCGGTCAAAATGTCTTCCCATAAAGCCACCGTATGTGGAAATGAACCCTGACTCCCCAGGAATAATTAGAAAACCCCAGAGGCTCAGTCAGCCTCATATACATTTTGGTTAGCAAAATGCTAGATAATACAGAATATGAATATAGATAATGAGTGGATTTGGACACTGAGGAACAGTGTGTTTTATAGATTATGCCTCATTTGAATGAACTCAGCATTCATGCACCATTTTTAAAAATAGTTACTCTAAAGCATGAAGTACCCCAACTGTGATCAATTGGATTGTTTCCAGTCCTTGGGTTATTTATTGGCAGTTCAGGAAGAACTGATGGGCTAAAGATGTTTTCTCTACTCATTACCAACTGAAAATACTATTTTTCCATACAAGCAATTGCTGTAGATGCCCTAGGGAGGTAGTGTGATTGGACTGGGAGCATGCATCTCTCCTTTGCAGGAACATTTTGGAAACCTGCCATTCAGGATCCATGTTGTTTATGTTAGGTTATACATGAATAACAACATACAGATTTTTTTTTCCCCCCAGTACTTTATGAAACAATTTCTAGGAAGCATAGGAACATGCTGTTTTAAAGCATTAAGAATAACTGGCTATCTAAATTAGGAACAAACAAATTACTTTCTCTTATACCCTATAATTAACACTGGTGAATTGGCTTTCTTTATTAAAACTGATGTTGGAAAGAAAATTCCAGCAAGTAGTCATTTTATGGGGCAGCTAAAAATATGAATACTTCTCTTCTTGGAGCAAATGGGGCTCTGCTGAAAGCAAAAATACCTGAATCCCACTGTTCCTGCCCCTGAGGAGATGCTGTAAGTCCACAACTGCTGCTCCAAACACACAACGGTATTGAAAAGAGTAGCCTCTTCAAGTGAGTTTCCCAAATTGAAGTGTGGTCAATGCTACTCATGCTAAATTTAGCTATGACAACATGTATTTTGCTGCAAGGGAAGGAGAAGCCTGTGCTCCGCAGAGTGGCAGTTTCATTCCTGATAATGTGGATAGACCTGTACTGTGCTGCATGGTCTGTGTGCTTGGGCTTGTGCTCATTTATATCTGTCTGCCTGCGTGCTGTTACGTGGTTAAAATGATGGCATACCATATATGTTGAGAATACGGCCTTGCTCATTTATTATCTACAGAATATGGCCACCATGAGGATTCTGATCCTCCTTTGGATAACAACGTACATGGTTCAGCCAAGCGTATTTCAAGCTGAAGGAGGTAAGGCAGCTTCTTTCCAACCAATATGTTGCTTTAGTGGGTGACAAAGACCACTCAATATATTAATGAGCTGGGCTATTCTACACAAAAATAAATCCATAAAATGAACTACAAATGACCATACTGTGCAAACCACACTTCCTGGGCTTTCTTGACATTTTCTTGCGAGTATCTCAACAGTGGACATTTCACAGAAAAGGACTTCAAGGACGTTTATGTCAGGGTGTTCTGACAGTTCATGAGACAGTTCTCCTAATGCAAGATACTTGCTTGAAAATTGAGCAAGCAGGCATTTAAGGTAGAAATTAGGGGAGAAAGAAGTGGGGAATTGGCCATATGGTTGATCGGTTCATCAGTCCCTTTTCAATACAGATGCCCGGTGATATCAGTGACTACAAGGAGTGAATTGAAAGACTCAAACCTAATCTTTGTAAGCCAATGTAATTCCTCATTGCAACTTGTTGCAAAATATATATATATATATCTTTAAAGCAATATTTTAGGTAAATGCTTATTTGATGAAGTTCTGTTTGTTATTTAAAAAATAATCTTCAAGATTAGAAGCATTTTATAAGAAGCTACTGAGAGAATATAATATTGAAATTAAATTTGTGATACTTTCCTTCTGTTACTCATTACTGGTTAACAGCTATTGCTGTGAACAATTCAATAATAAAAGTGAAATAGATTATTATCAGTGTTTTTATTTTCTGTCTTTCAGTTCAGGTTTTCCCACCTGTTAATTTCACCCTTACAGTCTCTGCATTAGCAGAAGTATTTTTGCACTGGAAACCAAATCCTAATCAAGAACCAAAAAACTACACTATTAGGTATGATGTGGAAATCATAACTCCTGTGCCTGAAGAGGTAAGTCTAAAGTAAAGCCAATATTCTAGTAATGTTACATTTCTGTTTAGTTAAATATACTGCACCAAAAAAAAAGAGCAGTAGTATTGAGTATTTGAGTATTGGCATACTCAACTAATACTAGAATAAAATATGTTAAGCACAAGATTCGCTTTCACCTATGTTTATAGGTACAGCTCTGCTGGAGCCAGGGTTAGCCCCAGAAATTGTCGGGTTCTGTAACGTTCATTTTGGAGGAGAAGTTGGGTACTGGTATTAAGTAATATTGCTCCCTGATCAAATCAGTGCATTTAATTCAGATTAATACCAGGATATCAGCAAAATATTGCACCATGTTTCATCACAATTATACATTATAGATTTTCTATAATTTTTCATAGTATTTTTGCACTGGAAACCAAATCCTAATCAAGAACCAAAAAACTACACTATTAGGTATGATGTGGAAATCATAACTCCTGTGCCTGAAGAAGTAAGTCTAAAGTAAAGCCAATATTCTAGTAATGTTACATTTCTGTTTAGTTAAATATACTGCACCAAGAAAAAGAGCAGTAGCATTGAGTACTTGAGTATTGGCATACCCAACTAATACTAGAATAAAATATGTTAAGCACAAGATTCGCTTTCACTTATGTTTATAGGTACAGCTCTGCTAGAGCCAGGGTTAGCCCCAGAAATTGTCAGGTTCTGTAACGTTCATTTTGGAGGGGAAGTTGGGTACTGGTATTAAGTAATATTGCTCCCTGATCAAATCAGTGCATTTAATTCAGATTAATACCAGGATATCAGCAAAATATTGCACCATGTTTCATCACAATTATACATTATACATTTTCTATAAATTTTGCATAAGGATCCTGCTGTCTTAACTGACAAACCCCAAGCACTTCTTGTGCAAATTATTTTTGCTATCTGACTTTAGACACTTAATGTACTAGCTAAGCTACCTGGCTGGTTTGCCTCTGCTCCTTATGCAGCCAATGGAGACAGCTGGTGGGCTCTCATGGGCTACTTAAAGCACTTAATTCAAGATTTTTCTTTGAATGACTGCGGGACTCCCTCTTTGAGAGCACAGGATGGCTGTGCATCACTTGGGCAGATTAGATTAATAGTGGATGGTGTGCACAGCCTTCAAGGCTGCAAGTAACCACCCAATGAAACATTTAGTTTAATGCCTGCCCTTTGTAGATCAGTTTTTGCAAAGCTTTTTTTTTTTTCTTTTTTAATGTCAAGTATGATACAAAAAAGACTCACAGTTTCCGAACAGCTGTTCTCCACAACGGTTTCTCTGCACGCGTTCGGACGTTACTTCTCATTAATGACCTTCAGATGAAAAGTGACTGGGCGAGGGGTGAGCTGAAGCCTCTGCCTGGTAAGTTGGAATAAACTCAGGGCTGAATTTTGGGTTCAGCCCTAATCACAGAACCACAGAATGGTTGAGGTTGGAAGGGACCTCTAGAGATCATCTAGTCCAACCCCCATGCTCCATTAGGGACACCTAGAGCACATGGCAGAGGGTGGCATCCAGGTGGGTTTTGAAGATCTCCAGGGAAGGAGATCCACAGCCTCTCTGGGCAGCCTGTTCCAGGGCTCTGTCACCCTCTTCCTCACGTGGAGGTGGAACTTCTTGTGCTTCAATTTATACCCATTACCCCCTGTCCTGTCACTGGCCACCACCGAGAAGAGTTTGGCCCCATCCTCCCTACATTCTACCCTAAAGTACTTACACATATTTATCAGATCTCTTCTTAGTCTTCTCTTGTTCAGACTAAACAGGCCCAGCTTGCTTAGTCTTTCCTCATAAGATAGATGCTCCAGTCCCTTAATCATCTTCATTGCTCTACGCTGGACCCTCTCTAGAAGCTCAATGTCCCTCTTGTCCTGGGGAGCCCTGAACTGCACCCAGTACTCCCAGGTGAGGTACTCTGGTGAGGTGCGGCCTCACCAGAGCTGAGCAGAGGGGCAGGATCCCCTCCCTCGACCTGCTGGCAACGCTTCTCCTGATGCAGCCAGGATCCCATTGGCCTTCTTGGTCATGAGGGCACATTGCTGACTCATGGTTAACTTGCTGCCAATCAGGACTCCCAAATCCCTCTCCGCAGAGCTGCTTTCCAGCAGGTCAATCCCTACTCTGTCCTGGTGCCTGCGGTTATTCCTCCCCAGGTGCAGGACCCTGTACTTTCCCTTGTTGAACCCCATGAGGTTCCTCTCTGCCCAACTCTCCAACCTGTGTAGGTCCCTCTGAACGGCAGCACAGCCCTCAGGAGTGTCGGCCACTCCACTCAGTTTGGTATCGTCCACAAACTTGCTGAGGGTGCCCTCTGTGCCCTCGTCCAAGTCATTGACGAACAAAGTGAACAGTACCGGGCCCAGTACTGATCCATGGGGGACAGCACTGTGGACTAGACATGAACAGGTGGGAGGTTTAATACTTAAAAAAGAAAAAAAAAAGGAAAAAAAAAAAAAGGCATTTCCCCCTCTATCAGCAACACTGATTTTACTAAATGAATTAGTCCAGGGCCTTTTTTTTTGATGTATGAAGCTGGGAATACAATCTGGATATACATGACAGAGAGAACCCTTGTAAAGTTTTCTGGAAGTTCCCTGCTAAAGCCAAGGTAACCTATTTTCATGCACTCTAGGATATTAAAATATGATGTTGCCTGGAACCACGACGTGTTTATATCGTATGTAGTACCGCTGTGTGAAACGGCAGTACTAACATTACTTGGGAATCTTCTTTAGTCCTGTAACTCATAACACTATCTGATATGGAGGAAGATTAGATAGAATAGACACAGATAAAAAATGGACTATAGACAGTGCATAGATAGGAGATAGATAATAAAAGACTATAATCAAGTGTTTTAGAAATGAGAATTTCTTATGACATGCATAATAAGATTTTTTCCCCTATAATTCCTTGGCTATATAGGTGCTCCAGAGACATCAGTCACTAATTTGTCCTGTTTTAATTACATCAACATGTACAATACTGTTTCTCTCCATTGTACTTGGTTTCCTGGTAAAGGGGCACCAGAAGATACAGAATACTTTCTATTTTACAGGTTAGTGTCTCCTCCTATTTTATTAGCAATGAATTTCTTGAAGAACATCATGTCTCATGGATATTTTTATTTAGGTATAAGACCTACACTGAAGAATGTCAAGATTATATCAAGGACAAGTTGAACAGAAATATTGACTGCAGATTTCCAAGGACACATATTGATCCTGAAGAGGCTGATGATCTCATTATAATACATATTAATGGATCTAGCAAGTACACTGCAATTAAACCTCTTCAGCAGTTATTTAACCAAAATGCCATTGGTGAGTTAAAATACTTTTTTTTTTTTGGTTTTAAATCAAAAAATTCTTTCCCAGAGTGAAAAGGTTGCAGGGAAACGGAAAAAAAAAAGAGTTACAGGAAATCGTCCCCTAATTGTTGATCTATTTCTTTGAATGTATTCCATTTTTCAGTAACTTTTCCTGGTTATATCCATCTCTGAAAAGAATTTTTTTCTGGATGGTTCTGTCATTAATTTCATGCCTTTGTAAAAAATAATTTGAAAAATACCTCTTTCCTCCTCTGTAATCTAGTTTGCCAAAGCATTCACGTGGACTTTTAAAAGCACTTTGCCTTGTTTATTTTCCCCAATATAGTTATTCCGTCAAAACCCTTATCTTTTCTAACCCAAATGTCAAGTAAATTGAAGCATTAAAACCCTACTAGGAAACAGTATCAAGTTATAAATTGCTCCATTGTTAGTATTTAAACTTTGCTCTATAAATAACTTACTGGTACTGCTTTCATTTTGTAGAGAAAGTGAATGTTCCCAGAAATGTCACGGTATTCTTAGAGCAAAATGATCTCTTGGCCAAGTGGGAAAAGCCAATTTCTTCTTTGCCTAAAGAGTGTTTTGAATATGAATTTTACCTCTGCAACTTGAAGTCAGGTAACAAGCAGGTAATTACTTTTCTTATGCCTGGGTTTTACATAGTGTTCCTCTCTCTGAGTTGACCGTCTTATTTAGCTAGAAGCTTCAGCCTGGTAAAAAGTCTTCAGATTGATGAACATGTCACAATTTAAAATAACTTAAAATCAAACCTGCTATTGCTGACTTTTTGAAACTATGCTCTTCAGTGAAAATTCTGTCCTATTAGTGACTAGGGTTCAGCAAAGACAGAGTCTCATCAAATTTCAAAATCTTTCCCCCTTTTTGGACATCTTTTCTGTCTGCAACAAAACAGAAGGACAGGGACTGGAGTTACTCAGTTTTACGCACCCGGGTTCATGATGGAAGTAGTATAAACCTGGAGAAAATAGACAGTTCTGCAAATCCAGCATTCAGGGTCTCAGGAGGCATCTGAAAATGAGACATCTTTCAAAACTTTGCCCTGAAGCATGGTTGTGCTAGTAAGGAAATTATACCAACAAAAACATGAGTCTTACTTAAAAGCAAGACCTGATCTTTGCTGTTAATCTAGTAAAGGAGTTAAAGAAAACCTCTCTGCAGTAAACATGATTAGTGTTTTGTTTTTTTTTAAAAAAATTTTGGTCATAAGCAAACTGTACAAAACATTTTTTTTAACAGATAATGAAAGTATCATCAAATGATTTCAGATTAAGAATTGATGTTACCTGTAGATACTCCATACAGATACGAGCTAATCATTACATATGTCGTAAAAGAGGATTTTGGAGCGACTGGAGTGAAATTCTTTATGTTGGTAAGAATCATATGTCTCTGCCTTACAACAAATATTACTACATTGCTAGAAAGTAAATACTGCATGCACGACAAAAGTAACTTCAAGAGAAGAAGGGAAAATATGTATTTGAGGAAGGAAATTTACTTGTTATTGCCAAGGGTGGTTGAGTGTCTGTTCCATTACAAATAAACAAAAAAAAAGCATCCCACAAACTTTTGGATGTATAGTACTTCTTTAGATAGTGTTTTGTTTTTACACGTCTATGTTTCCAGAGAATGTTTTAAACTAATTAAAATAACTACCTAAAAACACTTTGAAAGAACAAAATTATCAATGAGCACAAGCAATAAAGGTAACTATTTCTACATGCTACTGTGAACATCTCTATGTCTCTAACACTTCCAAGAAAGACCCAGAAAGGCTCAGAAATCCAAGCTGTAGACCTGGCTGGAAAGCATTAATTGAACTATAAACCAAAGTCCTTCCAAAGGACTGATTAGTCGCCCCAGAAAAGTTCATATTTTCTGTTTTTTTTTTTGTATTTTGGAGCATTAGTTCCAGGCAGAGAGAGGGCTGCCACCTCCCCAGCCATTTCAAAGTACCTCTAGCTACAGCCGATTGCTCTGCTTGGTTCATGGTCTGAAACTTTTTTTTTTTAATCCTATAAGTTCTGAAAGAACTCAAAAATTGGCATAGCTTGGCTTGAGATTGTACATGAGGAAATCAACACACCTTTTTTACATGTGCTATTTCTGTGTTTCCATTATTTTACATGTGTTTCCGTGGCAAACACGGTAGAAGTTAATATGAATGGCCATGTAAAGTATTTCTTTACTGGAGCCATATGAACTCTGAAATATGGGAAAAAAACAAGATGGTCTAGTATCTTCTTCATTCTGTATTTCCTGCTTGCTGAACATGTTTTTTTCTGGAAATAACAGTTTTCTTATCACAGCACATTATCAACTGTTTGTCCTTAGACATCCTCCCTTGTTCTTATCTTTCGAGTTTCTTCACTTCCTGGTTTGCACTAGAGAAGAAGAAGAAGAAAAAAAAGTCTAATACTGTCTCTTGTTTACTGTATTTTCCTTCTTATATGTATCTGTTCACAAGTGAATGTGATTACATCTGCCAGGACTTTGCCTCTTTAGCCCTAGTGCATCCCTTCAACCCTCCCCGCCCGCTTCATGGCACAGGCTACGACTCAGGCTGGCTAAACACATCTTATGAAAACAACTGGGGCCACTTCTTAGCCTTGCTCACCTTCCTGGGAAATATTCTGGTAGGTCCAGTCTTAAAGCCATTAGTCCATTTCTGAGCCCTTATCTGGAGTAAAAATATTAGATTGTTCACCCGATAGTAGCAATCCTCTAACTTCATTAAAAATTGAAACACAATTCTGGTTCATTCCTTTGGGATTGAACCCTGTGAAATGTAACCATATGCTGCCAAAATTGGCAGTATAAAAATGCACCTTGATGCTATCCTTTCTCTAGTAAGTTGTTTAGAAGTATTATGGTCAAAGAAAGCTAGATAAAAAAATCATCACCAAGGCCAAGCACGCTGGCAATGGCCATTAACTATGCAAGACACTGGTAGGAATCAAATCTGTGGAAAAATAGTGAATAGGTGCTGCCATGGTTCATGGTTTAGAAATTCCATAAGCCAAGTCTGGGGCTGAGAAGTACCTCACAGCCATCTCTGCTTTCTCAGCACAGCTGAAACATTTGAGGAAACCTCTGTGTCAGAGCAAGCTCTTTGGGAGCTCTCTCTGCTGTGGAGTGTGGCAGTGGCTGAAGAACCTGTAAATATCTCCCTTATGGACTCCACTACTAATGCACAGCAAATGGCAAATACGGAAAATTCATTTTGATGATAAAAATAAAAAAGAAAGGTAGTTTTCTATGCACATTTACTAAAATGTCAAAGACAAGTCTAATTAGTTTTAGAAATTTTAATCTTACTTACAAAGAGTTATTTTGAATGGCTTGTTACAGCTCACTGACACAGTACAGGTTACTGTGCAAGTTGCTGGATTTCAGCAGGTATTTCCACACCTCTGGTTATCTCTGCCGTTAACCTGCTCGGTGACTCCGAGCAAGTTCATCTCTTCCCTCTGTGGGTCTTTCTTCATTGTTCAGTGTATTACACACAGATCTCTGCCACTGCCAATAAAAGGAGGAACAGCCTTAAGACTCTTCCATTTTTGCTTTGGAAAATGCAGACATTTCCCAGCCTTCATGCTAGGAAACTTAAAATTGATTTATGGGCCTTAAGTGTTTTCCACACCCAAGCCCAATGATCCTCCAGACTTAACACTGCATGTAACAGGGCAGGGTTGACAGTTACACCCCAATTCTTATTTTCTTGTAAGAAAAATGAATCCTGAAAACAATATTAACCATCTAAACCCATCTGTATCTGAAAGGTTAACCGTGCATCGCTTGCGATGGTACAAAGGCCCAGAGCTGATTCACAAAATCATTTGCTTGGGGCGTTTTGCACATTGATCTTGGTGACTGCAGTGCTACTCCAGCAGTCAATGCAGATAGGCTCAGCTCCTCATTTCCAGAAACAAATCTGACCAAAATTGAATATTGTTTTGTCTACAGCACCAATAAACCCAACACTCCTGCCGCTGCCCCATTAATGTCCTTTCAATTACCTAGTAATGGCTGTGATGACATCTTGAAATATAGAACATGCAGTTACCGTAAGCACACACAGATGCAGCAACCTTTTGAAAATGAAGTTCAATGTAAATGTTTTCGTTATATGGCATAATGTGGCACAAAATGTTCGTGGTCACTAAGCATGCCTTTTGAAAGTAGAAGCACTGTCCTTGGTAAAAACACGCTTCCGCACACAGGCAGAGGCACTAGAGGAATTCTTTCTGAGGAAATATTCGCAACCAAGCAGCAGGAAAATATGGTGGTTTTAATGTCTGTTTTACAGGCAAGTTTGTTAAGCCAGACAAATCATTCTCTGGCTATAACGAATTAATAGAAATGAAGAATGATTTAATGGAAAACAAGCTGTCTGTGTCTAAGATTATAAGCAAACAGTGTTTTTGCTGAGTACCAGATGTGTGTGTGTTGCATAGAATTGTATATCTCAGGGTGTTAACATACCTGATCATGTCATCCTAGCCGTGCTCACAGGCACACTTCAGGGCTTGCTTTCTCCTTCATATTGAATGAAGGAAATCTATTAATAAAAGCACATAGTCAGTGCCATGGAAACAACTCTTGAAGCTGTAAGTTTATTTTCTAATTCTAGATATGAAATGTTCATAGGTCGCTTGTTAAATTGTGATTGCTTGAATATAATCACAGAGACCAGCTGATGAAATCTTTTTTAAAAGTGTGTTTGAAATAATCTGTACTAAAAATATATATAATTTATTTTTTCTTGAAACTCAGGAGAAAACAAACAAGAAAATTCCATAGCCTGGATTCTCACTCTGCTTTGCATGTCCTCATGCTCCATAGCCTTGCTTGTTGCAATAATGTGCAAAATGTAAGTATCGGCGTCCTCCTCCTAATTACAGTCTAAGTACAAGGTGTTGAATAGATGTGGGGTGACATTAAAAGCATTGCTTAATTTCCAGAAAGGGCACTGAGTTTGGTATTCAGGCATAATTATACAAAACCAAAGTACTGAATAAATGATAAGTAGCCTCATTAATTATCAATAATAACATTCAACAAAATTGGTGGGATAAGAAGGTTTTTCTAATTAAACAACAAAATCATATACTGGGGGAGAGACGAACCTGTCAAAAAGCTTTTTGTCCTATTCTCCTTTCCTCAGTTAAATGGATATAGTTGAGCTGGTGATTTCCACACAAGAACTCCATCTTTAGCCCCGGTGAAAGCTGCTAAGATCTTTCCTGACTAAAGTTTACAGGCCAATATATTCTCAGTCTTGTCTTCTTCAGCTTGCATGTCTACAGAAAGTCTGTTCCTCCGTAGCCCTTAACAGCAGCAAATGTTTGCTGTATTTATATTCTTAACTATTTATGCAGCTTATTTTTAATGACTACAGTATATGGATGCCAGGTAGTGAAAACAGATGCCATATAGCCAAGCTTCTCAAAATGTTCTGTAAAGAAATCCACATGCTTTGAATTTCTAAAGCAGTTAGTCAGATCTAAAGTGATGAATTAAAGAATCAATTATGTAATTACAAGCTTCTTCCCCAAAACATATAGCAAGCAGCAATTATCAGGTCCACAACATATCAACCCAGCTTCCAGTAATGTAAGTGCTGTCCTTGAATCTACTATTTTTTTATTAATTTATTTAAAGCTTTTAAAATTATTGGCTATAATGATGTGTCCTTAGCTGTTTTCCTTTCCTTACTAAATTTCTGTTATCAAATAAAGGAGATGTCAACATGCTGTATTAGAATAATTTTAATTAAATTTCCCTAAAGTGTCTGGTATCTGTGATAACTGCTCCTAAGTCAATTTAGTTAGCATAGCAGGTCTCAATAAATAATCCTCTTTGGAACAAAATAGACTAACTCTTTACAAGGCAGTTATTCGTTATGTGCCTCATTCTAACTCATGCCTAACTAAACAGCCTTGATGGGTTAGTAGAAGTCACTGATGCCCCTATGGATTGACCCATCCTTACATCTGTAGGAGCTGACAGCACAAGGGCTCAAGTAATACTGCCACAACGATACATACAATGTAGGAATTCCATTTTTGCCATTGAATCCATAATTTCATGGATAAAAATCCATAAATGACCTGGAAGACCAAAGCAAACATCCAAGAAACCATCAGAAGTTTCTTTGAACCTTTGTGTGCACTGACATCTTGACTAGGATATGGGTGGTCACTTACTGTCCTAAGATTCACCACGAATTTGGTTATTACACAACTACCCCATGCAAGGAGCCTGTAACAGATAAGGGGGAAGAAAAAGATACACGGGAGGAGTTTGCCCACAAACTAACTCAAAGAAACTGTACTAACACATTTGGAAACTTTATTATATTAGGCAAATTTAAATAAGCCTTTCCAGGTTCAGCTGCTTGATGGTACATTCGTTTCTTCCAGGAGCTTCGCTCTTCCTGGCTGGTATAATTCTCTAGCACCCAAAAGGCTCATTACATACCATCCTTGCCAGAGTGATTAAAATTTTATCTCTCTGTTTTAATGAATCTCATGAACTTGCTATTTTCACTCCACTCTTCCCTGCCCAGTGTCTTTGCACCCTCTTTTCTTGATCCACCCTTTCTCTAATTTGCCCCCCACGTTGGAAGGAGGTGGGAAGTATAAAAAGATGAAACACAGTGCTTGGCCTGCACATTTATTGCAGGCAATAAAAAATAAAAAGTAAAAAAAATAGAACAGGTTCCCTGGATCAGTTTCACTAATACTTTCAGTTTTTACTGCTGTTGAGAATTCATGAAGTGTATCATGTGATCCAAGCCACAGAATCATTTCAAATGGGATATGATTGGAAGGCATTATAAAGAATTTCATTACACCAAAGAGTTCTATAAATTTTTCTGTGTATTTTTTGGTGATTGCAGGCATCAGAGATAGAGACCACTGCTTTGGAAAAATACTACAAGGCAAAGTAGCCCTTTGGGACCATTTGGATTGTCATTTCCCTTAGCTTGCTTGCAGTAGCAGATGGGGATACTGCCTTGGTAACAACCACAGCTGGAAGGTTTCCTAACATACCACTGTCTTTCTGAATGAGCATCTTCTCTATCTCCTTAGGCTGTGTCTTGCAATAACGATTTCTCCTGGAGGGTGAGCCCACAGGAGAATATAGTTAGTAACTTGCTCCCAGCTGCTCTCTGCTTATTTGAAATCAGGACAATCACTCGAGAATATATCATGGAGCCCATACCTGATGGCAGCGCTGGCATCCCAGCCACCAGCAGGTCCCCCTCTCTCTCCTGTATCCCATGCAAGTTCACCAGCAGAGCCATCAAACAGCCCCTGTGAGAAAGGCACCTGAAAAATGTCGCAGCGAACGTGACAAAGTGTCACAGGCATGGCCCTAAAGAGGCACTCTAAAATACTCTGAAAATAAACATATTATCAGTCTTGTCTCAGAGAATAGAAAAGGGAAAAGAAAACTTGTTCTTTAACTTACTTCTCTTTGACCCTTTTAATGTCACATTCCACGGAAAAAAATTCCAGAAGGAAAGACACAGCACAACCACTTGAGGCCCAGAAACACTGAGATAAGACATGAAGGTCCCTGGAGGGTCTTCAAAGCCTGAGGGCCCAATCAGAGCCAATAGAAAGGACCATGATCTGGGCAGTGTAGAGGCAAGCTGACCTTTTGAAACTTTGGGTTTTTTTTTGAGACAAATTATTAAATCACTTAACTCCAACTTTGCAGTGCCTGCCAAAAAGAACAGGCTCCTTCTGAGATGACCATTGTAACCAACCCCACCAAGGCCTCACAGCAGAGGCTGGCAGGTGACGGGGCAAACCACCACCAGGAATCCACGCGTGCTCCTTAGCTTGCTTCTGCCTCCCCCCGCGGGCTGTTTGTGCACCCCTCCGGCAGTGTTTCTGTTCCAGGAGTGGCATGCTACTTAGGCTTTTTGCTAACCCAGTAAATAATTTTGGTATGGCTTGATCAAGATCTTTTCATGATAAACAGCACAACTAGGAGCACAATGGTTCCAAACACGATGAAACAAAAGCAGATCTTACTGGTTGTATAACAACAACAACACAGCTTGCAATATTGCTGCTTGAATACAGCGTGCTCACATGGGATTAATGGGATGCAAAAGCCTTAACCATTAGCAGGAAGGCTGAGAAGAGCTGAAATGCTGCCAGCAGGCAGCACGTGGTTATTCCCAGTCATTCCAGTCCTTTTCCCGGCTGCACAGCACCACGTTAGTGACCTGCTGTGCCAGGTGTGACCCCGCAGCCCGGCCTGCCCTGTGCGGCCAGGGCTCCTTAGATGACTTACAGCTTCCCCAGAATGTGTCTCTGCAGCATTCCTCACATCCCCATTCCTTGCTGTGCATCTCAGTCACAAAACCTAGTCCCCAGGTAGATGTGAAGACACCTCATATTTTGCTAGGTCAGATCTATTTAGTGGGGGGTGGCAGAGAGCTTTACTTCCCTGAATAACTGTAGCTAAGCATGGATGTAACCGTGAAGGCAGCAGAGGTTCAGACGCTCAGCCAGGAAGGTTTAGCTCTTAACTCACAATCAGAAAATACTTTGAAGAAACTCTTTTGCAGAGAGGGCATAAGAGAGGGATGAATAATTTTTGTATCTCAATATGAAAGCTATGAAAAGGAATAGGTTAGTAGCAGGAATTTATTTTAGACTCCCTGCTGAGAAGGAATAATAGGATAAAAGAAAACTTGACAGAAATCAAAAAGCTTTCCAAAGAAGAATAGCCATAGCAATGTAAGCATTCAACCAGACATGAACCAGGAGAAGTGCCACAAAACAAACACAGCACAGGGGCAGGTCTGACCTCGATGCCAGGCCGAAGGACGGGTGCAGCTCGTACATATTTTACTTCCTGGAAGTCAGACCAGCTACCAGAAATGCTCTGCATGCTAATGCTGGGCTAAATCTTCACTTGGGCAAATTTCCTGTTAAAATCTGGCCTCATTTGGACTTCATGCTATCCAGAGGTAAATTGTAAGCGTTGGTGAATTCTAGTGATTGAAATGTGACTTCTGTGCTCTGGAACATATCAATGAAAAGACAATTTTGGCTGGACAAAGACACTTTGCTCTGCAGCACTTCACAGAACACATCTGCATAAATGTTTGAGCTGCACTAAAGACTTTTGGTCAGTGAAGGGATATTTTGAAGCACACTGGTGGCAGAGCTGTTACAGTGCTAGGGGGAGCAGCTGACTGCCAGTCATCTCTTGTCCCCTTCCTGCTTTCCTCAGTGCACGCTTATTTCCAGGATCCAGAGCAGCCTATTCAGCAAAGGCACAACTGCCCAGTCCTCAGGGCATCTCTGTGTTGCCAATATCCACTGCCTCATCTAATCCCCTTGGAACCTGCTGTTCCCATCAGCTTCCAGACACTAATTACTAAGCGACAGTGGAGCACCAGGGGCAAAGGAGTGGGGAAGACAAAGCTTAAAATCTTCTGATTCACTCAGCAATACTAAATTCTTCCCCTGGAAGGACTAGCTTTTCTCCAGTATCTTGCAGGAGTGAGGAGATGGAGGCCAAACTGATTTTGAGTAAAGTTAATGGCAAAGCAGCCACTGGGATTAAACACGGTGGTTTTTTTTGTTTTTGGTAAACTGCAGTTAGAACAATTCTTTCAAATCCCTCCCCTTACTGTTTTTCACAGAAACCACGTATGGAGTAAACTGTTTCCACCAATTCCAACACCCAGAAACAAATTTAAAGATCCCTACCCAAATGGCTATCAGGTAAAAAAAAGCCTTTTATTCACTTTTTTTTTGTTTATTTTTATGAAGAGAAAGAGCACTTGTGTTTGTGTGCTGCCACTTTCCTAGAAGGTTACTGGTCGAGCACGCCACTCGTACTGCTTGAGCTGAGGCTTTGGATTTCCCTTGTTAGTTTAAATAAAGGCTACATTTTCAAATGTGTCTGATGCAAAACATGCCAGACAGGTAACTTGTGGGTGCAAGTAACACAACAAGATGCATAATCATGTGTATGAAGTACATTTAGCTGCTGGATTTGACTGTTTGTGAGGCTGTTCATGCAATCGTGGTAGCTGCAGCTCCCGTCTCTGTTGGATCTGTGATCACCAACTCTGACAAAATTCCAGGCTGCAGTAGCTCCTCATTTGGCCTTTGTTGCCAGTTGAGCCTTTTGCAGGAATTGAAATGAAAACAACCCGAACCAGGAAAGGTTTCCTCTGGTGTGCTGGGCTGGAGGGAGGATTAAGAGCTGTTGTCTAGAGCTCCTCTAACGTGCAGCGCTCCGGGCGCGCGGTGCTGTCCCTGTATCCCTGCATCCACTGGGAATCCCGCTGTAGTGCCCCTGGCTCGGCTCCTGGAGAGCCACTTTACTCGGTGAAAGCCGACAGTGAGAAAAGCTTCACTCCTGCTGTTAAGCAGGTTTTAAGCCTTATTATGTTTGCTGTTGCTTCCTGATAAATACCTTAGCCTTACAGATAAGATAAAACTCTTCACTGTCTGCTCCCGGGAAATGCTGCTCAGTAACTTGATTCTAATTTGTCTCCTCCGAGTTGAGGTTTGATTATTTTGGTATTGTTATTATTCCATGGTCTGGTCAAGGAAATAGGCTTAAAAGATTATGATACGATGTTTCAGTTTGTTCCAATTAAAGTCATCGGTGTAAAATAACATGACTTAGGTTATCACTAAAAAGAATATGAGAAATGGCAAATATTAACATGGCAGCAAAGCAGTATTTAGAAAACATGACCTTACAAAAGGCTGTTTCATATTACAAAAAGCAGCACTGCATTAAATTTAGTCATGTTATCATTAGAGTGCTGGGGCAGGTAGACGATACTGGAAACCCTGGGAGTTTTCTGGCAGCCCCAGAGCAACGGCGGGTGAACTGTCCCTGCCCAGCCCTGGGGGCGGCCGCGCTTTCCCAATGGGACCATCCCTGGCCCTTTTACCCTCCCAGCAGGACACCTGCGTCTGGGCCCCGTATTCCTGGGAATAACGGGGCCCCCCAGCACCCTGCTCCCCAGCCACATGGGAGCAGGGGAGGTGGCACCTCTGCACGTCCCAGTACCGCCGCTGAGGTCACCAAGAGGAGCAAAACTTAGGGCAGTTACTTAAGATCATTCACTTCCTAAATTTTTCACGTGCACACGGGGGCCGGCTGAGGAGAGCAGCCTGCCGAGCACTTCCCTGCCCGCCCGCCGGCCTTGCCCGGCCTTCGCGCAGCGCGAGGGCTCCGCGCGGTGCGCGGCCCTGCGCTCTCCCCCTCCGCAGCCTCAGGGTCCGGCTTCGCAGCCGCT